TGCTAGGGTTGTCTAATACTGAATTTTCCATGAAGTTTGTATGAAAATTCTGTAGAATTTATGTAACACTTAATAATTATATTAACCAATCAAACGCCGTGAAGACTAGGAGCTTGTTTGGAAACACTTTTCAAATGGACTTTTGGATGCAAAAGTCCATTTGGATAAATATTTATGTTTGGTGCTAAGTTATGAATGGACTTATGGATAAGTTGTTTCTCTAAAAAGTCCATTATGTAGAAGTAAATGATAAAGACTTATGGAGAAGTCCATTTTGGAGAAGTCCATATCTTAAATGGACTTTTTGAGAAGTGTTCCCAAACAAGCACTAGGACTTGGTAAGAAGTCAGCTAATAAAATAAAACGATAAGTTTTGTCTCTGTGTAATTCAATAGGATAATTTGTGGACAAAATGGACACGTAATTCTAAAAGATGACAACCAATTGCATATAAATAACGTGATAAGTAAATTGATATATGCGACATAATTTGTGCCTTTTAAAAAATAAAAATGTATATTAATTGTTTAAATATTAAAGAACAGTCAAAAGGTATCTCTATATTATTATACTCATAAACCGAATCAAGGGAGAAGCCAATAAACTTTGTGCGAGTAGATATTCGTTTACAATAAAGTTGGACCATTTTCATGCGAAAAGCTGATATTTTAGCAATTGCTAGTAAAATATTTTTTCTCATTCCAACTGTCACGGTTTTGGCGTATCACCATATAAACTATTTTTATTTTTACAAACCACCATATGAACTATACGGGTTTGTTAATGTGCTCCCTAAACCAGATATAAAACTAGTTTTGTCCTAAAAAAGCTATTTTTAATAGCATTTTAGTAATTTCACACATTTTTCAGAAAATAAAAAAAAATGAAAAAAATGAATAAGTTGGTTTCAAAAAATAAAATAAGAAATAAGAAATAAGAAATAAAATGAGAAATGAGACTCGTTCCAAAATGCCTTGGACCAGAAATACCTGCTACGCCACCGAAGCCCCCGGTGGCCTGCACCGTCGCCGGCCCCACCACCGCCTCCCGTTCGCAATGGAAACCGGTGCATGCGACGACAGTTGATGGCACATCAGGTCGAACTCATTGTGGGTATGTGGCAGGAGACGGTGGTGG